ACACATGCGCACTTGTTCCCGCAGAAAGAGCTCCCCAACAAGAAAGACTGCCCACACATGTGTGCCTACAAGCTGGTCACGGTGAAGTTCAAGTGGTGGGGTCTGCAGAACAAAGTGGAAAGCTTCATCCAAAAGGTCTGTCGACGCCGACTTTGATTTGCGGCCGCCACCCGACGCAGCAACTGACTTGCCTCGATGTGCCTGCGCAGCAAGAGAAGCGCCTGTTCACCAACTTCCACCGTCAGTTGTTCTGCTGGATCGACAAGTGGATCGACCTGAACATGGAGGACATCCGCCGCATGGAGGAGGAGACGCGAAAGGAGCTGGACGAGGTAACGCCACGGAGGGAAGGAGGCGAGGGAGCGGAATGTAATCGGTGAGTGCGGCTCGTTTTCTAGATGCGAGTGAAGGACCCCGTGAAAGGCATGGTGGCGCTAGAGGACTGAGGTCGGCCCCCCCGCCCGCCGAGACTGTGAATGCTGCTGCCGCTCATCAGGTGAGACTGATCAGTTCAGCGGCGAGCCAAGTGTTCTTTTTAATCGCAGGCAAACTCTATTGATCGTGAGTCAAGATCGATAAGAAACTGGTGTTCGGGGGTTACATCGCTCGCGATCAAAATATTATTGCTTCGAGCTGTTTTTTGCCACTCCCACTTGAAGTTGACTTAAATACAAAACATGAAGCAAATAGAATTAGACATTGCGTATTAAATGAAACGGGACTAGTCCGCTAGCTTAATGCTAACATATGATGCAAAACACCATCGACTGGCTAATGAAACTAGCATCAATGTCATGGTAATTAGAAACGCTCAAAAACCGGTAGCAACAAAGACAGAGCATAGACAGAGCATACCACAATACACACAGGCATATATTCTTTATCCTCTTTGAAAAAAATGAGAGCTATTGTTGAAGCTTAGTTCCGACACCATTCTGTGTTTCATCGTCAAATCAATTGGAGTACTGAATGTTTGAATTTTATTACTGTTCCCTGGTGGACTACTTCCTATGTATGTATGTATATATGTATATTTAAAATTTTTCACTCTCTTTCTTTCAAAGTGAAAGCCTTCATGTCCACGGTTTTGTTCCAATACATTTATTGTTCCTCACTGCTGCGTGCTCTTTCTTCCAGACCCGAATACCGAGACACCAGCGGATTCACGTCCTCCTCCCATTCCAACCGACGCAACATCCGGCCGTCCCCTCCGAATTCCCAATCCCGACCCGCCTCCGTTCCAAAATTCCCTCGCTCGGGTACCTACCGCCTGGTGTTCACGATGCTGGACCCTATAAACTCGTCGTCTCTGGTCTCCGTCCCTGCCCCATTCACTGACAGCTCATCGGAGGCGTCCGATAGAAAATCAGTCGATCCATTTTGGTCATCAATTCATTCCCAGAACCACAGAGAGTGATTTATCTCTGCCATGTAGGATTTACTGAAGCTATTCCGATGTTGTACATACATCCACACTATGCCGGGTGGGTGGGGATGTGGGGTGCGGACATTGTAGGGAATAATGCAGTATTTACATACTGTACATATATATATGAATATAGTATATCAACAGGGTTTTTAAAATGGTCTTTTCGGTAAGTCTGACTTTTATTTCAGCCCATCAGCTGCTATGTGCGTGTGTTTTTATTTTCCTCTATCACACCTTTGCTTTCCTTTAGCGTCGTTCGCATGTTGTTTGTCGTTTGAAGCTACAATCGTACCAACCGGCAGGTCGAAGGTTCCGTTTATTTGTGCCCTGTCAATACTGCGCTGCTTTGTGACATTGTACGTGGCGCGTGCGTGTTGCGTTTGTGCGCGTGTGCGTGATCTTGCAAGTTTGTCCAAATGAAGCATTTAGCATTCAGTTAGGAGGACTAAACAAACATTCATATTGTCCGTAGACAAATTAATTCAAGTCTTAAAGCCGTGTTTCCACAGTTCGGTACACAATGGCAACGGTTGTGAAGGTAATCGCGAGTGAGTCAGTTGTGATCTTTAATTTCCCGAGGTGATCATGCCAAGTTTGGTTTCAACAATAATTTGAAGCTATGCGAAATTTCTGGAGTCCAGCACCTTAGGCTACTTGTTAAATTAGTTAACAAGCCCAATTTGGTCAACATCACTCTTGTGAAGTAAAGCTCCTTTTACAATGCCAAACATTGAAAAGGGTACCAAAGACATTTTCCGTACTTTAGCACTTTTGGGCACCGTAATGTTGCGGTACCGAGCTCAGCTAAAGCTCGACAGATAAGGTCACAATGTATCACGCACTAAAGTGTTGATACGCAGTCGTCTAAAATATCACTGTCATGTATGTCTGATGTACTCTCCGTCAACTTTCAAGATAGATCAATGACGTGTTAACTGTAACTAAATACAGTGATAGCTGTGGGTAGCAAAATGCTAGCATATGAGCTATACACAGTATCGGACTGAATGTGTGAAGTAATAACGGCTGTAACTTTTTTTTAGGGTGATATCGAACGTCTCTTCAGTATCATGATACCGTTGGTATCGTTGGGAAATGAAATTGTATCGCGAGGGGACCGAACTGGACCGCTGAGCGGTGGGAACCCGGCTTTAGCCGGTCACCTTTTCTCCAGTGGATAAACGAGCTTATCCAGCAATAGCAATAACTGCCATGATGACAAAAAAAAAAAATAGTCCACAACTCTAGTATTTTTATTTTGGGGGATTTATTTGGGGGTTTTTTTTCCAGACTGAACTGTGTCCTGTTGTTTTTGCGGTGTGTGCATGAGTGTACGTGCATGTGTGTGCGAGTTTGTGTGTGTGTGTGTGTGCGTGTGTGTGTGTGTGTGTGTGTGTGGTGTTCAGTGATGTGACCGTTTATGTTGTACATTGGTACAAAATGTCCAAGCAAGAAGCCGACTGATTTAAAATTTGAATGCAATATGTCAAGAAACCTGAACGATATTGGAATAAATAATGAGATCACATGTTTAAGAGAACGAATCAGCACATGTTTCGTTGTCAATCCTCCGAATTTTTCTCAGCCATCTTCAGGCTTCCATAAAGCATTTTACTGTACTGCCTGCACAAGGACCACATTGCGGGACTGTATAAAAACAAAAAAAAAAATCTTTTTTTTTTGTTTGTTTTTTGTTTTGTTTTGGTTTGAAATGTTGTAGTGCTGTTGTCATTCCGAGCTAAACGTATCTAAGAGCGAAACCACCACTTGAGAATGAACATTTAATTCAAATTAAAGGCCAGAAATATAACAGTATCACCGCCCCCCCAAAAAAAAAAAAAAAGTTTTGAGCTCCTTTGACTCTCTCACTTGTGTGTTCGCGTGCCCCTTGATTTTTCTTGATCGTTTCCTGTGGATTTGTGCCTTTTTTTTGGTCATCTTAATCTTCCGATAACACAAATTGTACATTGGAAAGGTGAATTGATAAAATTAATAAAACAACGACAAAAAAAGACAAGCTAAGAATTGTATTTCGCTGTTTTTTGGGTCGGTGTGGGGGTGGCTTACCATAATTGAATATTAAATTTGAAATATGGAAATATCTCTCACTCACATGCACACTCACACACGCGCCTATACATATGCACATTGCGCACTAATGGCAAAATTAATCTGGCTTTGCCGGGCAAAGATTACATCAAATCCCGCTTACAGGGACATTGTGTGAGAAGTTCATGACCCCAAAAGAGACTGAAAATATCGATATTGCATATGTTTCATCATAATATAGATCCTATATATCCAAAGGTTAAATTTTGGTAGCAATCGGACAAAGTCTCAAGGAGTATTTTGCAGACTTCCTGTGGGATGTCGCTTTTTGTGAGTCTACTCTTGATAGACGTGTCGACCAAATTCCACGTTGCCAAGGGATCGTGGCTTTTGGGGCTGACTTATCGAAATGTGTTCCTGTTTTATGGAGCGCCATCCAACTTTGCCAAACTGCTTGCGTCATGTCGACTCAACAAATGTGTCCATTCATGAATGACGTAATGCTTCTCAAGCAACCTGCATCATAAGCTTGATCCCACCTTTAAGTCCCCCATGCAGGAGCAGCAGCAGGTTGTTGTTGCTGTGTGCAAGCAGGGGCGGCGAGAACAGCGAGTCCACGACCCCAACGACGGGAGTGTCAACGGGAAAGCCGATCCAGACTCTGGACTCCTCCTTGGAGATCTTCGTCATCTGCGCACAAGGAGTCTGCAGTTTCTTCCGGACGCCTCAACACACCAAGAGCCAAGATACAGGTACTGAAACGACACTTGGGTTCCTCTCATGTGACTTTAAAAACGCTTGGTTATGATCTGGGGTTGCTGTGCTCCACCAGGCATTGGGTGTCAATGAATCTGTGCAGGATAAAATGACATCTCAAGTCTCAGCAAGGCTTTCTGGAGCTAAAATGTGCTGCATGTGTCAGAAAACTGGTGCAGGGTGTCCTACAATCTGTGCATGGTACTATGAAATCTCAAGATCCACATGGTATACTCAAGCAAAAATGAGCTACCCAATGTCAGGAAGTCCGAAGAATGACTAAGAGTTCGATATGGGGCGATTCTGAAGAGTCCTGATCTAAACTCTGAAATGTACTGAATGACGATCACACTCTGGGTGATTAAAAAAAAATCAATTTCACAGATGACTGTAGGACTGACTGTTGCCATGGTGACCAGCATGGAGATTTAACTGTGTGTGTGTGTGTGTGTGTGTGTGTGTGTGTGTGTGTGTGTGTGTGTGTGTGCGTGCGTGCGTGCGTGCGTGCGTGCGTGCGTGCGTGTGTGTGTGTGTGTGTGCGTGCGTACGCGCAGGTGACGACATGAGTGCTGCTCGGTTCCCAAGCGGAGGAAGAGACAAGTGCAGGTGAGTTCACGTTTTTTTTTGGTCTTTTCTTGTTCTTGTTCTTCACATAAGGAACACGCATTGCCCTAACCGTTGTAAGAGGCTTTGGGGCGGGTTTGAGCGATAAAAGTGCCATTCTTCACCTCTCTGATCCACTTACAAACACTCCGCTTAAGTCTCTTCATGTGACTTGCTTATGGCCATGCAGCAGTCTTGACTGCATTGATTTAGAAACTAGACTATAAAATGTGGAAGGCAAAAATTGAATGCACGTCGGAAACAGGATGAAATGAAATCAGATGTGAAACCGAGATTTGAAACCAGATGGTATCTAAACAGATGTGAAAAGGAAATGGGAAATGGATGTAAAAGCGTTTCAAATATGATGTGAAGCGGACGGCACTCGTGCTTGCGCCCTTGCCAAGAATGTCGGCAAGTGGGTTGACCTATCACCCGCTTCAGTGGAAAAGTGGAACACAGCCAAAAGAAGCCTAATGCCATTGTCCGCTCATTAGTTGGCGGCCGGAGATTGCGGAATGGCGGCCTCCGGCTAACCGGCTTATTACACCAGCCTCCACATTCCTCGCTTAAATCTCCTTCTCCAAATCCACACCGCTGCTTTTATTATGGATGGAAGTCCGCGGAGGACACATTGTGGCGCTTCATTCCCGACGGACCTTTGAGGACAACAGGAAGTTGGTTTACCCACCGGAGATGGACTTCCTGTCGCGCGCCCGGCTCCGCTCGGACAGCGCGGCGAGCGGCGCGTCGACGTCGTCGTCGTCGTCGTCCAGAATGCTTCTGCGACAGAAGCTGGCTCAGCTCCTGAGCCGCATCGACGACATGAGCTCGGAGGACGAGGCCGGCGAGGAGATGTCGCGCACGCTGGACGATGCCTTTCAGCTATGCTCGCGCTTCGCGCCGCCCACTCACGCCTTCAGGTGGACCTCCGCCAAGACCCCTTTGTCTGCGCTTGTGCTCGATATTTTGCGTCAAAATATTAAGATCTCCCAGCACAAGAACGAGCATGTGTTTGGAGAAGTATTTGTAAAGGCAGAAAGTTTGTGTTGTTTTGCTTTAGACTCTCTAGGTGTACCTAATGAAAAAAATGTTTTTGAAACTATGCAAAAAGATTTTAAAGGGATGTGAAAAAGTCAAAAAGTGATTAAAACAAATAAATTACAGGTATTTGGGAACCAGAAGCGTGAAACCGGATGTAGTGTAAACTGATGTGAAAATGAATAGGCAACAGATTAAATGTTATTGGCGTAAAAATTGGTGAAAACAAAGATGAAACAGATTTGAAAATAGATGCCAGATGTCACGTGAACAGATTTGAATTTAGATGTGAAAATGAATGAGGAAAAAAAGCCATCAAAATGGATGCAAAGACAGATGAAAAGGAAGCATGAAACTGATTTGAAACCATATTTCATAAACAAATGTGAAACTGATTTGAAAACAGACAAGGAACCAGATATAATAACTGATATAAAACCAAAAGTAAAATGAATGGGAAACAGATGTCCACATATGTGAAAGGGGCAAAGACAAATGAAACTAAATTTAATCCAGATCCAATCCAAACAGATGTGAACATGAAATCAAACCTCATGTAAAAACATTTGAAATGGGTGCTAAAAACAAATGGGGAACCTTAAACTCAATTGCGACCGGATGCAATGTAAACAGGTGTGAACAGGAATGGGGATTGAGTGTAACCATTTGAAATGGATGTCAAAGGTTCTCGTTCACTCACAGAACCAACCGTCTTTTGTTTACTAACATGAGCCACGTTGACAGGCTGCACATGGTGACGTGGAACGTGGCCACGGCGGAGCCTCCTGATGACGTCACCTCACTGTTGCAGCTCGACGTCCAACCGCCCACCGATCTCTACGTGATCGGGTGAGAAACTGATGTGAAATCTCGTCTCGGAAATTTGATATGGACTCAATGTGGAAATGAAAGGAAATATTTCAGTGAAATGATCATCGAGGGCATATAAAGGCATGGAAACAAATTCGAGAGCAGAAGTGAAGGCAGATGTAATTGAAACAGAAAATATCAGAAAATATCAAACTTATTTGAAACTAGTTGCGATGTAAACAAAAGGTGGGAATGAAAGGGAAACGGGTGTAACAAAAATGTGGAACGAACACAATACTGATTTGAGACCAAATGTATTGCCGTGTGTCAGGCTACAGGAAGTATGCGCCACGCCGGTTCGGTTCATCTCGGACTTGATTGTCGAGGACTCGTGGAGTCACGTCTTCATGGACACCCTGGCACCGCGAGGCTTCGTCAAGGTAATACATAAAAGTATGACGTTTTTTTTTTGCTTTAAAGTCGTTGCCTGACGTGTGTTATTCCCCTGGCGTCCCTGCAGGTGGCGTCGGTGAGGATGCAGGGTTTGCTGCTGTTGGTGTTCGCCAAACAGTCGCACCTGCCTTACATCCGAGACATCCACAGCACGTACACTCGCACTGGGATCTTTGGATATTGGGTATTGACTTCAAAATTCAATGCAATTGATTTAAATCGAAATGAAATTGTTTTTTTTTGTTTTTTTAGGGAAACAAAGGGGCGGTGTCGGTGCGCTTCTCTTTCTACGGCCACAAGGTGTGTTTCCTCAACTGCCATCTGGCGGCGCACATGAACCACGCTCTGCAGCGCGTGGACGAGTTCGAGCATATCCTGGAGACGCAAGAGTTTGACACGGATGACGCACGCCGGGTTCTGGACCACAAGTCAGTCAAACACAGAGAAAAAGAACCTCCGCCAAGGTGCAAGGATTGCCACATAATGATAAGATGTAATACCCCCCCCCCCCCCCACACACACACACACACGCACGATTTCTCGCCCACATCCCTGCCCAAACAGGCTCGTGTTCTGGTTTGGAGATTTGAACTTCCGCATCGCTGACCACGGCCTGCACTTCCTGCGCTCTTCCATCAATGGCGGACGACTCAACCTGCTGTGGGGCAAGGACCAGGTGAATCACACGCACCACACACACACACAAACGCACTCGCTTATATATTTCCTGTGCAGCTCCTCACCATGAAGACAAAAGAGGCCTTCCTGCAGGAATTTGAGGAGGGACCCTTGAATTTCAAGCCCACCTACAAGTTCAGCCGCAACTCCGATGCCTATGACCTTGGGTAATACACACACACACACACACACACCCACCACACACACACACACACACACACACACACACACACACACACACACACTTTTTATCTTAGCATTTGACATAGAAAAGTTCCGTGCTGACTTCAAGCTTAAGTTCGAATGTAAACAAACAACTGCAGCTTTGAAAATCTCACGTCCCCTTTGTTCCTCTGTCTTGCTTCAACGATACTTTACTTCACGGACAGACTTCGCCTCAAGTTAGTGACATCATGTTAGTATTTTGACTCGAAAGCTAAAAACAGTATAGCGTTACTGCCGCATGCGGCACATTCCCTCCGATTGATTATTTTGTGATGTCATCATTTGTGCGTCTGTGTGTGCCTATTAGCGTTAGCACTGCAGCGCTGCCCCTAACCATGTATAGGCCCAGGCCCCCGCAGCGCTGCAGCACCACACTTCTCTTCCTGCTCATCTCTCTCACCTGGGCACTGCTCTCTGTCTGGCTAGTAGACCCGCTCAGGTGGGTGTCTCCAAGGCAACCCCTGAGCCCTTTAGAAATTGGAGACAAAATTAAATACAAAATGAACAAATGTGTCTCATCCCACAATTGTCAAAACTCGAATTATAGCTCAAATCCTGTTGCTAGTCGAGATCGTAACTAAATCTCCCCTCAGTAGCATACTGCCACCATTGTGAATAACATACAGTACTATACATCTTTATTTATATAGCGCTTTCATGCAAGCAACAACATAGCAATAGTTTACAGATAATACAAGTACATTTCAGACTTTGGAGCAGACAGAATGTTTGTCTGTTGATCGCTGAGGGAACCAAACGATGATGTGGATGACCGAATATCTTTATCCATGGCTTGCATCTAGGCCTCACGTTCGTAGCGTCAGGTTAGCATCTTGGCTATGGTGTTAACAACAGGCCATCGATCTTTTCTTGCGTCACCTAGCGGCAAGAAGAGGAAGCCTGCGTGGACCGACCGTATCCTGTGGCGGGTCAAACCCAAAAACCCGCCATCGGAAGACGACGACGACAAGTTGTCGACCGCCACGGACGACAGCCTGGATGAGTACCCCCTGGTGATCAACCAGGATAAATACACCAGCGACATGAGCTATGGCGTTAGCGACCATAAGCCTGTCATGGCCAGCTTCAGTCTGGAGGTGAGAGACCGAGTCAGACAACCGCATAGCTTGATACTGATCCACAGCACCTCTGTCCGGTTCTGAGTGGGTTTGGCTGAGCAAAAGTTTGATTCCCCCTTGAATTAACGCTGTTGTCTTCACAGCTGAGGAAACACTTTGACACTCCGCTGGTTCACGTGTCACCTGAAGGCATCTGGAGCGCTGACCAGGACGCTCTCCTCAACTACACCGTCCAGGAGGACTTCCTCTCCTCAACGTGGGATTGGATCGGCCTGTACAAGGTGCGTCCCGGAAAAAAAAAAATGGCTCGACGGAAGTAATCATCAATAGATGCCGTGTTATTGAATCGTAGGTCGGCTTCAAGAGCTCGAGCGACTATGAGACTTTCGTGTGGGTTCGAGAGGACGAGTTGCCAGAGACTGATGAAGTCATACAGGTGACACATTAGCATGTTGCATCTTTTACAAACACATTGGTTGTGGATGCTCAGAGATTACGCCAAAGAGGCCTCTGGCACTTTTTAATACAAAAACCAAACATAACTTGGGTTACATCTATGGTACTTGCCAACCAGTTGACATTGGTTGACTAGTCTGTACCACGTGGACCTGGGCACCAGACAATCTGTGAGATACAAACAGATGTCTATTAACATCATCAATATTTCCAATATGTCCCGCTTCTGTTTCTGTTTATGCTTTGTTTATTGAAAACAAGCATGTGTTTTTGGTCGCTAGATCTCAGTGGATAAAGATGACATCCCTCTGCTGGGCGGGCAGTACGTGCTGGGCTATTACAGCACGAACATGCAGAGCATCATCGGCCTCAGTGCCAACTTCCAGGTGAATGTAGCTCATTTGCTATATTTGTCATTAGAATGTGTTGTTTATTCTAAGATTTCTTTTTGGTCAATCTTGCAGATCTTGGAGTCGAAACGTGCCGTCATGGAGGGGCTCGTGCCGGAGAACATCAACGGGCTCACCAAATAATTGAAGAAACTTTGATGTGTCTTATTAGCCTCAAACTTGATCAAAGAACTGTGACATCTTCCGGTCGTACATGTGATTTCACACATAGGAAATACTGGAAAAGATGAAAAAATTTTAAAAAGCCATTAAAAATACAAAAATAATTACTAGTCAGTGTAGTGTGGTGGAAACGACAGTTTACATTTAGCTGTCCACATTAATTCAGAAACATGTAATGAGTGAGTCAGTGAGAACATTTATTGGAACCTACTGGTTCTTTCTTAGCACTGAATGCTGGAATTGCATTGTGATTATCTTATGAATTACTTCACTTGATATTCATTTTTAATATGAATGAAATAATGCTTTGTTTGTTTTAGCCATGTGCTGTGGCTGATGAATATGACGGAATTTATGTGGCTGTAAAACTGCTGGAAATCTTTCAAGAATGTAGCTTACGTGATCACAGGCAACTGAGTAGTGTGGAAAGGAAGTTACACGTATTTTGTTTTGCATACTCTGTGTGTGTGTGTGTGTGTGTGTGTGTCCCCAAAGTCTGGACACATAGGTGATTGATGGCAATGTCGACATGTTTTATCACATGAATGTTTTCAGAGTACATCAATCTTTGCATCACAAATGTTTTAAATCATCTTGAAAATGTTATTTGTGAGCATTCAATTTGACTAAACTTTTGTTGAAAATGTACATTTTGTGAAATATTTGTTGTTGGGACACACTGAAATAAAAAAAAATACATCTTTAAATTGACGGGGAAACGACAAAATTATGAGAGTTAAGTGATAATATTAGCCAGGAGGCGGGGGAACAGGATATTCATATTTATATTGAACTAAATTGAAGCCTTTTGGGACACACTGTATTTAAATGGAGTAAATAGTTGGGGATAAGATGATCAAGTTATAAGAATTGGATATAGTATTTTTAATAAATTATCGTCTGTTGCATTCAGCGTAATACAATAGACGGCAATGATAGCAATTATTAAAATTTGTTGGAAAAAAATCGATATTTTCGTGGGTATTGACGTAAACGGAAAATTCATCAGAAATGTTACAATTCAAGAGATGAGGCATGAAATTAGCAATCACTTCCGTATTCCCATGAGCCCTTAGAGCCAGGGGCGGTCTCTCTGTGACCGTCTTCGTCTTTTGCAACATCTTGATAAGTGTACGCACGTGTGGACTTTTAACACTTCGCTTCCTCGTTTCAGGTAAGTTTTGTTGCGTTTCCAGGTTAAATTCATTTTATACTTGGTCAGACCGATGTGTATGAGCAACTGTTGATCGGGATAGTGTCGTCGTAAGTGCTGTTTCGACGACAATGTCATCCCAAAACACTCGGGGTTCACGGCTAATTACACGAGCTAGCTTGACAGGCTAGCGCTAACCATATCTCCAATGTTATTTTAATACGGTACGCAGCCAAAGTTTGGCACTGAGTCTATGTCATCTTAAATGGTATTTTAAGGAACCAAAGTGTATGCTTCAACACAAAGTTAATAAAGCTCGCTCAACTATTTTTCCGTTTACTGAAACATTACTAGTTACATCCTCGTTCGATTTAATTGCGGCTTCCGTAGTGCAAGTTAGCGGAATTCAGTGACTTTTCTCAACCCCTCTAATGACCATTCTGAGGGGAAAAATGACGAGCGATTTTAATTCCAGATAATACACACACAAGATGAGCGGCACAATTTTCACATTGTCCGTAAATAAAAAGAAACCTTCTACGCCAATGCATGTTGAAAAATAAAAAGATCGTTTCATGTGTTTTGTGTGTTGAGAGAATTCAAGCAAAAACAAGACGGGAAAAAAACATTTTATCATGCATTTTTTTATAGAGATGTCAGCAAAGGGAACTAAATTGATTTGAGATCTTCGTCAAAAGGCGTCTGAAGATGAGTGAAGAGGTGCAGCGGCTCCTGATCCAGTTCCAGGACGAGAATGGAGAGTTACTGGGCTCCCCTTTTGACGTTCCTGTCGACATCACTCAGGAGAAACTGCAGCTCGTCTGCAATGCGTTGCTGCAGAAGGTACATGTGACTGGAAGCTGCACACACACACAAATGAGTAGACTTTATTCAGCCTATCTTTTTCTTTGTCTCTTTCAGGAGGAGGCAGTGCCACTCGCGTTCTTCGCTCGCGGCGACACGGAAATCGTGTCTAGCCTGGGCGTCTGCATCAAGGAGCTGGCATGGGAGACTGAGCAGGTGCTGCCCGTGGTTTACCAGCCCCAGGCCATTTTCCGGGTGCGAGCCGTCACCCGCTGTACCAGTACGCTGCAGGGGCACACGGAGGCCGTCATCTCCACCGCTTTCAGTCCCACCGGCAAGTAAGTGGCGCGAAAGGGCCTCGTTTTCCATAGATATTGCAGCGGTGCCTTGACTTGTGGGTTTTATGGAGTTGTGAATACAAAAAATAGCACAGCACAGTATTATACTTTTGAAGGTGAGAAATTTCCCAGTTGACCAATGAACCTTAGATTGGAAAACGGGTGGAAAATATTTGCATTTTTATTGTTTTCAGATACTTGGCCAGCGGTTCCGGTGACACCACAGTGCGCTTTTGGGACTTGATGACAGAGACGCCGCATCACACCGCCAAAGGTACACTTGCTGCTCTGGGCTGTATATGCTAGTCTGAACTAAAATGTTAGCATACCATGATAATTTGTACTGGATTGTGTTTTATTTGGAATAGGTCACTCACATTGGGTTCTTAGCATTGCCTGGTCGCCTGATGGCAAGAAGCTTGCGTCGGGGTGCAAAAACAGTCAGGTGACTTGGCAAAAGACACACGCACGTACACACACACACACACACACACACACACACACACACACACACACACACACACACACACACACACACACACACACAGACCTTGTCACACGTGTGTGTGTGTTTTTAATTTCTTTTGTAGATATTTCTGTGGAATCCAGTGACGGGCACACAAATTGGGAAGACTCTATCCGGACACACCAAGTGGATCACGTGGCTTTGCTGGGAACCTCTTCATCTGTAAGTATAAGTTAAATCCATCTTATAAATGCCGACAGGTAACCCGAACAAAGCTGTAAGTGTCCCAATACCTGTGTCCATACACGAACCTCAATCACTGAACTGCCTTTTGTTTTCGCCAGTAACGCTGAGTGCCGCTATTTGGCGAGTAGCTCCAAAGACGGTTCGGTGCGCATCTGGGACGTGGTGATGGGCCGCTGCGACAAGATCCTGACGGGCCACACGCAGTCGGTCACTTGTGTCAAGTGGGGCGGGGACGGGCTGCTGTACACGTCGTCGCAGGACCGGACCGTCAAAGTGTGGCGGGCCAAAGACGTGAGTCCCGCCGCCGGGCGTTCACGGGTAAAAGTGACCGCCAACAAGCCTCTGTTTGTTGTCGTTTAGGGCGTCCAATGCCGGACGCTGCATGGCCACGCCCACTGGGTCAACACGCTGGCGCTCAACACCGACTACGTGCTAAAGACCGGCGCCTTTGAACCTGCCAGCGCCACCGTCAACCCACAGGACCTCACGGGATCACGTAAGAACATAAATGTCATGTTTAAGAGAAGAAAAAAAAAACTATGGCCACAATGCACTGCAGATCGTGCTCGTCAGCCCATTTTATTCTCATTCTTTCTCATTCGAATTACTGATGAATAAAACGAGTGTTCATTATATTGTTCAGAAGTGTGGGAAAGTCTGACTTCTAATACAATGTCTCCTCCTAGTTGCGGAACTAAAGGAGAAAGCCTTGCAGAGATACAATAATGTTCGGGTATGTTTTTGTTTTCCTCTTGTTTTATGTCTCTCCAGACTTTAAAAAAAAAAGACGTGTTGCTTTGCGGTCCCACAGGGCTCCAACCCAGAGCACTTGGTGTCAGGCTCGGACGACTTCACCTTGTTTCTGTGGAATCCCGCCGAGGAGAAGAAGCCTCTTGCCCGGATGACGGGCCACAGCGCCCTGGTCAACGAAGTCCTCTTCTCCCCGGACACCCGCCTCCTGGCCTCGGCCTCCTTCGACAAGTCCATCAAAATCTGGGACGGTCGCACCGGGAAGTAAGTAGTACCACTGTGAACCACTCTGTGGCGCTGTCTGCCAAGCTAACGCCTGGGCAACTCTGTCACCGGCAGGTACCTGATGTCCCTCCGTGGCCATGTGGGCTCCGTGTATCAGGTGGCGTGGTCGGCCGACAGCCGGCTGCTGGTTAGCGGCAGCAGCGACAGCACGCTCAAAGTGTGGGACGTCAAAACCGGGAAGCTCAACATCGATCTTCCCGGACACGCCGATGAGGTGAGGGCACGGTACCGTGTATAGGGAAGTTCTGGGAATAAAAACATTTTTTTGTTGTTGTTGTTGGATTTAGTAAAGTCCTAAATCCCTTGGTTTGTAAAATGTGGATTTTTGTTTTAATTTTAAAAAATATGTATTCATATGTATAAAATACGCTTTCATAAAATAATTTTTTCTAAATATTATAATTTATTGAGTATTAGTTTTACAATATGTACGTACATATTTTGAAGTAGAATATTGACCAAATAATTTAACGTATGCAAAATATGTATGCTGTAAAAATACAAAGTAAAGTACAATTACCGGTACATAAAGTTTACATTCAGTGCTGAACCAATATGCACCCTGTATCTGTATGAAAACTGACCATTTGCTTTTTGGTGCAGGTGTTTGCTGTGGACTGGAGTCCCGACGGCCAACGAGTGGCCAGCGGCGGCAAAGACAAATGCCTTCGAATGTACGTCAAAATACAAAATATTCTCTTTTTAAATCAACTAGTCTGACTTATTTTGGGTGTCTTTACAGATGGAGGCGATAGCTCTCATGGCCACGACCTCCATTCCCTTCCTGTCAAGAGATCCGAGTGTAGGTGACAGGTGGGACTACTTACAACTCCCTCCACCGCACTCTCAGCCCATAATCTCCTCCAGAACTGCAAAGAATTCACACACGCCCGACCCCCGATAGCGCCCTCTAATAAACATATACACAGATTTTCAATTTGATACCGCAACGTTTATTACACCATAAAAACCTCCATGTATTTCCTGATGTCATTCATTCATTGATATATTTTAACAGTCAAAGCACTCGCTCACGCACGCACAACCACACAGAAATGGGAACGACATTCTCATGCAAAATGAGGAGGATATTTTTAGTTTGGCAAACATAAGGGACTCCAAAGGCTTTATCTGTGCAAGGCGGAGTGGTTATAAATACTCGTTTCCTCGCTCAACCTCTTCTTCGTACGATCGCCCCTTCACTTTTTTTCTTCACGTGAAATTAGACAGACATGAGTGTCATCAGTGTAGAAACCAATTTGGGTAACTTGATATGAAAGAAGAGGACAAAAAGGAAACATGAAAACACCCTTGATGAGAATTGAAGCTGCGGGCTGTGAGCTCCGGATCTTGCTGTCAAAATGGTCTCGTCCAACAAAAAGGCTGATGTCTTGTTGAATTTCATGGTAAAGGCTCAGAAACAATCATCAATTGTTACTGTTCCCCTAAAAGCAGAATGAATCTGCAATTTGAGTTCTTCAAGCTTCCCCGGAAATGCGGCGTTGGATTAGCATGACTATTAGCATGCTAGCATCAAATGAGACAGTCGGAGTCGCATGACAATGCCCAATAGCATTAAACGAGACAGATGGACTTAGCTTGTGATGACAAGACAGTTTTGCCATTTACAAAAAGCGGCGTGAATCAACTTGGAGGTAATCGGGTATGAGATATTAAAGCTAGGTTTGCTACATAGCTTTGCATGCTACACTATCAGAGTAGCAAGCTGATGACAAGACAGTTTTGCCATTTACAAAAAGCGGAGTGAATCAACTTGGAGGTAATCTGGTATGAGATGCTAGGTTTGCTACTTAGCTTTGCATGCTACACTATCAGAGTAGCGTGACACCAAATGAGACAGATTGGCTTAGCATGTGGCTAATGGAAGATTGTGCCCTTTTCCCCAAAAAAAAACAAAAACCAACCATTGATAAGATGTGACAAAAAGTGTTAGATGTTACAACTGTGTGCTGGCATTTTTTTTGGCGCAATACCCAATTTTGGAACTCCACCTAATTATCACAAAACCAATCGTTGTTTGAAGCAATTGGCCTTTTTTTCCCCCTTTCTTGCTCTTCATCAGTCAGTCCTCCAAGCTTCCAATTACAACTGTGTGCTGGCATTTTTTTTGTCCCAATACCCAATTTTGGAGCTCCACCTAATTATCACAAAACCAATCGTTGTTTAAAGCAATTGGCCTTTTTTTCCCCCTTTCTTGCTCTTCATCAGTCAGTCCTCCAAACTTCCAAAAATGACATGTGGAAATGTCCGGTGGTTTCTGGAAGGCCTTGCCTGTCTTGTTTTATGGGAGTCCTCACTGGTCCTCCTATTGGGTCTTCCATACGTTGTTGAGCAACTTGACCACCTCCTCGTAGATGACAAAGACGATAGCCACATCCAAGCACACTCGGCCCAGCCGGGGAACGGTCCCCTTGTAGAACCTTTTGAGACGGGATGGGACAGGACAAGACATGAGCCAGCGTTACGCTAGTAGCTAGCTAGTCAAGGGAAAAACTGAGGCAACTCACGCTTGCGGTCCTTCCTGCTTGAGGATCTGGAAGGCGCAGTCCACCGTGTTCTTGTAGCGATGGGCATCCAGACCCTTTCAAACATGGTCATCAGACACTCTTCCGAGGTTAAACACCCAATGTCCCATCTAACCTGCATTCTGGTCTTGACCACATCAAGAGGTGTGTTGCCGAAGACGCTGGCGGCCCCCGCCGTGGCTCCGAACATGGCCGTGACGATTGGGTGCATTTCCTTTCTGGGATCGTCACCTTGAATTCGGGGGCGAGCAAAATGTCGCTTTAAATAGGCACAAGACCGACGGGTTTCTGATCTTTGGACCAAATTTTGCTCTCAGACTACTTGTGTGCAATCCTTACCTTTGTACCAATTACGTAGCGCATTCATCACGTAAAACCGGATGGCCTGATTGGTTCCCTGCTTAAGCACGGTCGCCGTCAGACCTTGATAGGTCCCCCGGACACCTAAGGGTGGGGAAACCTAGATGAGGCTAATGGCTAACATTCGTCACCCGGGCTTGACTTAGAAGACGTTACCTTGTTCTCTGATGATCTCGCTGACGCCGTGAAAGAAACCTCGATAGCGAGGCCTCATCGAGCACTGGTCGTGAATCATTTTCACCTGCGGGGAGGGCCGCACAACACTCATATTGATGTCTCCATCACAAATGTGCCCCTCGACCCCCCTTCACACGCCCACCTTGAGCGTCTCCATGGGACACACAATGACGATAGCCTCGGTAATACCTGCCCCCAAGCCACACAGGAGGCTCCGCGTGTTGTCCAGTCGGCCCGTGGCATCTCGCATTGGGTTGCTGAGGATCTCGAAGGTGCCAAATCTGCAATGGGGGGGGAGTGAGGATTGGTGAGTGCTGCTGCTTCATTGTTTTCCGATACAATCTTTGTGTTTTTTTCTGCCAAATTCCCCTTGGAACACAAATCAAACCTGACTGCCGACTTGGGGATGGAGCCATAGAGCAGCGAGCTGAGTCCTCGGTACAGGCCTCGCAGTCCGTGATCCTGCACGGTCAGCTTCACGCAGTCACCTGCCAAACAGCGAGGACGTTTAAACAAGCCCAGACAGGGAGGGGGCAGTTGGTCGCGTGACCCTACCGATGCCCCGGTAGCGCGGCGGGTTGGCTCGCTCATCGAGCTGCAGCTGAGTCTTGACGTACTCCGTCGGGAAGGTGATACAAATCTCGATTCCGCCCGCAATCCCACCTAAGGGGAGAATTTGGAAAAATTGGCATATGGTTCAGGAAGCCCTTCGAGGAAATAACTTTTTCCTTTTTCTCCAAATCGTGGTGGGTTTTGTCATGGAGAAAATTTGGCAATCTGTCCAGCGATGGGATTACTGTGTATGCTATTTCTTCAATGCTACCAATCAATCAGATTTAAATGTTGCATCATTTGCAGAGTCAACTCGCCGGCCCACAGACTTGTGGTTGTTTTGTCAGAGCAAGCAAAATTCACGAGCAAATCATGATCTGCACCTATGAATACAATCCAATCAACATCTTTGGTATGTTTAGAGTTATGTTACAGATCATAATCATACAGCTCTCAATTGGCCTGACACCAGAGTATGGAAGAATCATTTATTTAGTATGTTTTATTGTGGCACCGAACACCCTTTGTCCACCCTCCCCAAATGACTGGACATTACTGCAAATGATTTCGGCAACCCCTTTTTAAAAAAAAAAAAAACTAGTGTAATTTACCGTATGTAGACGGCGCTACGCTACATGAGCATCACTGCCGAATTGGCTTTGTGACCCAGTTCGCCTTATTTAGGCGCCAGCTTGCGCACAAAGCAGCACTGCAGTCGCAGCAATCGACTCGGTGAAGCGTTGAAGGAAAAAAAAAAAAAGAAACCACAATAAAAGAAACAGCGGACCTGCTAAGATAGCCTTGCCGGGATGCGTTATCTTCCTACCCCCCACCGCCGCCGCCGCCAGACTCCTCCTGGCCGCGTACGAGCGACTCAGGGCCGGCGGAGGCGAGAGCGTCGAGGCGGGCCAGGCTCTCCGCCGCCGCCCGTCGCTGTCGCCGTCCTCGCCCAGGAGAGAGGGTTTGTCGAGCGGCATGGTGGTGGAAAGAAGGCTCCGCTGCGACGACGGCGACAACAACAAGACAGATGTAGGGGGGGGGGAGAGGTGGAGGTGGTGTCAGTATGCAAGGCAGTGGGTCAGCCGAGCGGGCCGCGCCATTGGCTGCGCTGGTGTGGCTCGGTCACGTGAACTGGCGCCGCCCCGGTGGACCAATGAGAAAGGGAGGATGCAGATTTTTCGCGATGCTCTGGCCTGATGCCGTGACGTCACTATTCGTACAAGGTGCATTTTGGTCCACTCGTGGAAAACGTGTTTATATTTTTGAATCAATTTAAAAATGAGCGTGAGAGAGAAACTCAAATTTGTTCATAGAGCACTTAAAAACCATCAAATACGCTGAACATAAATTGTTTTTTTAAACAGTAATACCTTTGCAATTAAACAGTATGTTAATATTTAATAGATTCATATATATATATATATATTTTTTTTTAAGTTATTGAGTACATTGTGAGCATTGTCTAAAATAGTGTATTTATGTAGGTTGTATATGTTGAAACCATTTTATTAAATTTAGGAAATTTTAACGTGTCAACCAAACTCATTCAAGCAATTAATTAAAAATAGGAAATTGTTTTACAGTACTTTAAGTTTTTATGCCCTCTTCTTACAATGAACAAAGATGAGTATATATTTTTGTTCCTAAATCCCTAAAAGTTTCCATACAAGCAGTTAATTTAATGAGAGAATGTGTGAATATTTTTGGTTAAATATGATCTTAATTGGAGTTTTGTCTCTGCTATCACCAATTGCATTCCCATTTTACTGATGCATCGCTTCACGTGATAGAAAAAAAATACAGCGTAAATAGCACCAACACAGCAAGAAAAACAAAGCTTTTTAAAATTTTTATTCAGCACGAGTGACGATGCGTTTGGGTGCTGTACGACCAAATCCTATTTGTTGGGTTTGCGCAGTCCGTCAAACTGGAGACACTTTGTCTGCAGGGAGAAGCACAACGCATTCGATCAACTGCAGAGGGTGGCGCGTGCAGTGGTCACTCACTATATGAGGTACAACTCATTAATAACGTGCATGGCTAATCGTGCAAACGTTCACGAAAACATGAAGGACAATGTTGCAAAAGTGTCCGAATGTTACCCAAGTCTCGTCCTGGATGTGCATCTTTATCCACCACAAATGATGCTTATTTATTTGATTTCGTTCGTGTGTGTGTGTGTGTGTGTGTGTGTGTGTGTGTGTGTGGTCTACCTCGTGCCAGCTGAGCGTGTCAGCGGGCAGTGCCAGGTGGCAGTGCGGGCACGCTCGCTGCGTTTGCTGCTGCAGCTCATCACCGACCCCATCGGGAGTCCCCCTGGGGCCCCAGCTGGGCCCCTCGCTGCCCCACAGGGGGCGACACGGCGCGTGGGAGGAGCAGGCCACACCGAAGTGGGGGCGAGGGTCCTTCTGGTAGTTCATCTTCTGGCCTCCAGATGGCGGCAGAGACAATGAATCCGAATCCTGCTGGAACGCCAGAGAAGTTTCTGAAGTCAACATTATATCATCCTCAATATTCTTTTTCTTCTTATTATTTTACAGAAGTTGGCAACCTGAGAAGCCCCATTGTGATAGTCTGGGTCAAGAGACCTGAGACAGTACCAGCACGATTCGGACGGGCCATCTGCACAAAAGTCATCATGGACATGGGAACAAAAAGGTAAGTACTGTTCATTTTAGACTCCCAACTAAATTTGCATGTAGTCTGTTTTTTCTAACTACAAAAATAAAGGTACTTGTTTACTTAACCAGTCATTTGTAAACCTCGGGGGGGAAAAAAACCACACCCATCATGATTCACGACAAGATATGGAAGTTTGAAATCGAATGAAATGTGCATAAAGTCTATTTATTTTTTTTGTTACATTCAGCAGTCCTCTTAAAGACAAACTTATAATTTAGACAACTAGATCACTAATTTTAAACATGACATTTTTCCCTCCCAAATAAATCTGAAGAGCCCTGTTATCGATAAATGTGTGATTTGTGTACAGAAATCATAAAAAAAATAATGGGGGGGAAGAAAAATGATGCCGCGTGCGTGCGTGTGGGTGTTACCGATTGTGTTGGAGGGCTGTGACGACGGTACTGCGGGGGTCAGCTCTACCTCTGTTGGTGGGGGTCCTTCTGCACCGTCATCTTGTGAGCTTTCTAGGTCACTGACCTGCAAAAGACAAATGACCCCTCCACCCACCCCCCAAAAGAAAAAAGTACATATTTTTTGACTGATAGTACAAAAGGACGCATAAACTGTGTGCAAAGTGTGTTTTTAATTTTTCCTACGGCCAAACCTGACCTCCGTCTCTCCATCACAGCCCTCGCCTTGAACCTGTCCTCCCGCCCCTCCATCTTCTGCTCCCTCTGGTTCGTCTGGTTCAGAGAACATTTCAAACCTGCCGCCTTCTTCCTCGCCAGCCAGGTTGGAGGCCGTCCCGCTGAGGTGAGATACAGTCATTAAACCCCCTTGTCCTCTCAGAAAATGTCCCGCCAGAAATTGATCAGACAGGTCCAATCAGACGCCGAGGTGGCCCACCTGTCTTCCTCGCCGCATCCCTGCATGCCTTCTTCTCTCGACGCTCTGTGGAGTTTTTTTTTTTTAATGTCCTCGTGCTTGACTGTGTGAAACCGAAACGACAGGTGTTCAATATTTGATGCGAGCGAATGGCTCACAAGCAGCTCGCTGTAAAGACTCACACACTAGGGGGTTGGGGGTCAGGACTCGGGTGTCCTCCCGCTTTGGAGGTAAACAATCTGTCAGTTTTTGTCAACGCCAAAACATCCTTGCCGGGGACTATTTCCCATGTCTTTGACTCTTTTCTTCAAGGCTACCTTGCTATTGAAGTTGGATAATTGGGTGCGTTATTGAATTGACAGCTATGTGAAAAAAAAACAAAAAAATGAAGACCCCAGTGAGAAAAATAAACTCATGTGACTCTTAGTTTTCATACTCGATCATCGGATGGCGCCTACACGAAAGCACCGTATGTATTCTGCTCTTATTCTGAAAGACAAAGTGCACCACTTCCACTTGTGGATTGTGGCTGACTGGGTTCTAATCTTGAGACATAATAACTTCCGCAACAAGCATCAGGTAAAACACTCGAATCCAGTGGGCGATTGAAGCAGGTTGACGACAGCGCCATCTTGTGCCTGTCACCAGCATCATTTGACCACCGCCAAAGTCAAAATCGGTCCGACTGACACCCATTGACCCCAGCACGCTCTCCCACAGCCCCCTCTTCGTCACGCCCTCACCCCTCCCCCTCACACACACACACACACACACACACACACACACACACACACACACACACACACACACACACACACACCCTCCACTTTGATGCAGTGAGGCAGCCATTTGCAAAGCACAATCAACTAAATTACACAGCCAGCCAGTTGCTGCTTTCAGGGTCATTGTGCAGAACCGGACTATGTGTGTGTGTCCTCTAAGTGCAGGGCAGGTAGGTAGTAATTGGAGCGATCCCACCCCCGCATCCGACGCCGCCCCCCCCCAATGTGTGTGTTTAGTGGGAGGAGGACGACACCGGGAACATAAGTGGCGATGACTCACCGCCAGTCTATTGTGCCAGCAGTGCAGCAGCGAGAGTGCTTTTCGCCCCATTCGCCTTCCATTGCTTGCTTTTTTTTTTCCCCCAACAAGAAATGGTGAGATGAAAGGATGAAAAAGGGAGGCGGAGTAGGGGAAAAGAAGGAGGGTGAACTGGGGTAGTGGTGGAATAAGAGGCGATGAATGAAGGTGGCGGATGAAGGGGAAAAAAAAACGCAAGTGAGAGACAAAAGGCGTGGCAAAATGGAGGCCTCCTTCGCTGCTCTTAATGGTCGCTAAGAGCCGGCTTGATGAGACGTAATATGTCCAAACAGCCAAATAGCATAGAAAAAGATGTTTGATGTTGCGCCCCCCCCCCCCACACCCTCGCGCCTTCCCCTCTTATCGGAAGTAGGCAGCCTCGCAAAGCAACTGGACGAAACATTAGGAACAGCGGAGATCCAATACGAGACTTCTGCTATGGCCATTCTGCCTCAAAATGAATTTTCATAGCAAATTTGTCGGCAGCACTTGACATTGGACACATTAGGCACACCTTCTCACACCCAATTATTAAGCTCTTACTTTGAAAGGAGCATATTTTGGCTCATTGGAAGCATCGTTAGGTACACCTCAAATTTGTCTTTCGAATCCAGCCTTTAAATGGATAATAATATCTTTTTTTTTTTCTTTTCTGTCTCGCATTGGCATGTGACTCCTTGGACAGCACACGAGGGACACCGGTGATCCAATAGGAGAGCTCTTCACTGACAGTTCTGCCTTTTCAAAAAGGTAACGGCAGCGTCGTTTTCCATCTTGTATTCACACGTGACTCATTGAACACAACATTAGAGACACCCAATCATCCAATAGGGAGCTTTTACCTCAAGAATTCCGCCTTTCAACAAATACTTTGAACAATTCTTGCATCTGGAGTTGCTCCGTGACTCAATGGAGACACAACATTCATCCGAGATCCAATCAGAGCTTCAATATGACAATTCTGCATTTTTAAAACGGTCATAAAAGCATCAATTTTGACAGCTTGTAACACTCGCCACACGTATCACTCGAGTGAGATGTTCCCTCCGTCTTCGATGCTCCCCCCGCCCCCACCTCAGTAATCTTAAAATCTTTTGTCATTTCCTCAGCGCTTGTACAGTACGCCGGTGTCAGCGTGTTAAGGTGCCGCGCTGTCGCGATAAGACCGGAGAAAGTGCAAGTTAAGGAGCCTTTCATTATTGAATTAAAGCTCTTTAAAGCGCCGAGGATTTCACACTGCAATAGTCGCGGCGGACATTTTGCACAGGAAACACGGCGGTATCGACACCAGGGGCAGGTCCGCGGGGACGCATCGTGGTTGGCGACGATGAATTACCATGAAACATTCCGTTTATTTATTGATGGACATGTACATATCCCTGATTATTTTTTTTTGATATCTTCATTTGTAGTGTATGTGAAACCATCTTTTAAGATTTGGAAAAATGCTTTTTGTGTGTAGCGCACCAAACAATCTGATGATCTATGTGTGTGGGCCGGGCCTTAGTCGGCGCGCGCGTTTTTGTGGTGACCCGAGTGCGGCTCGTTTCTCCTTTCCGCTATTTTTTATGGGATAAAATACTTATAAAAGTGACTGGTATCACAAAGGACGAAACGTGACATCGAATATTTTTTAACTTGAACCGGTCTTTGTGCCTCTGTGCACGTGTGAGTGTGTGTGCCCTTGGAATTTTTTAAAATCATTGTTTTGTGTGTGTGTGTGTGTGTGTGTGTGTGCGTGCGTGTGCATGTGCGTGTGCGTGTCACAGTGAAATGAAGATGACTCATTTTAGTGTGTCAACGTTGCGGTGTTGAAGTTGCAAGTCGCTGCAATGTCCTTTCAAGTAGTGTGTGTGTGTGTGTGTGTGTGTGTGTGTGTGTGCGTGTGTGTGCGTGTGTGTGCGCGTGTGTGCGCGTGTGCGTGCTGTCCTGCAGATGGGTGACTCATGCTCCAATCACGACTTGTCAATCACCGCCCCCTACTCGCTTTGTTGCTGCCATCCTTCCTTCCTTCCTTCCTTCGTCTCTTCCTGCCTTCCTTCCTTCCTTCCTTCCTTCCTTCCTTCCTTCCTTCCTTCCTTCCTTCCCTTCCCTTCCGTCCGCCTTTTTGCTCCCACTCACGCCGCCCGACACCCACGTTCACATTAACCGTCAAATTCCATTTTTGCACCACGGTAGCAGGGAGCCATGAAGATAAAATCACCTTTAATAAAATAACCGCTTTTATTGATGATCATCTTTTGGGGATAGAATAGCAAAACTAGTGGTCATCATCATGCTGTTATGTACACATTGCACGGCCATGTTTTTATTTCACACTGTACATGTTACAATGCTAAAGGTGACATCAACGACAAACACTCGTCCAGACAGATGGCGTCGCCAGGCCTTCGTTCTTGTTGTTGTTGTTGTTGTTATTTTTTATGTTCAGTTTTAATGAGAGAAGACAGCCATCTTGAATTCTCCACACTGTTTTATTATTGTTTTTTTTTTTTTTCTTTTTCGAAGATGCAAGTAGAAAGACGTGCATGTTGTTGTTGTTTTTTTTTTTTGGTTTTTTTTTTTCTTTTTTTTTTAATTGG